TGCTTGGCATCAGGGAAATCCAAATCAAAACCTCAATGAGATACTACCTCACACCAGTCAGAAGGGCTAAAATTAACAAGTCAGGAAATGACAGATGTTGGCAGAGATGCGGAGAAAGGGGAACTCTCCTACACTGCTGGTGGGAATGCAAGCTGGTGCAACCACTCTGGAAAACAGTATGGAGTTTCCTCAAAAAGTTGAAAATAGAGCTACCATATGATCCAGCAATTGCACTACTGAGTATTTATCCCAAAGATACAAATTAGGGATCCGAAGGGGTACATGCACCCCGATGTTTATAGCAGCAATGTCCACAATAGCCAAACTGTGGAAAGAGCCAAGATGTCCATCGACAGATGAATGGATAAAGAAGAGGTGGTATATATATACAATGGAATATTATGCAGCCATCAAAAGGAATGAGATCTTGCCATTTGCAACGACGTGGATGGAGCTGGAGGGTGTTATGCTGAGTGAAATAAGTCAATCAGAAAAAGACATGTATCATATGACCTCACTGATATGAGGAATTCTTAATCTCAGGAAACAGACTGAGGGTTGCTGGAGTGGGGGGTGGGGTGGGAGGTGTGGGGTAGCTGGGTGATAGACACTGGGGAGGGTATGTGCTATGGTGAGTGCTGTGAATTGTGCAGGACTGTTGAATCACAGATCTGTACCTCTGAAACAAATAATGCAATATACGTTAAGAAAAGAAAAAAAAAAGAAGAAGATAGCAGGAGGGGAAGAATGAAGGGGGGGAAATCGGAGGGGGAGACGAACTATGAGAGACGATGGACTCTGAAAAACAAACTGAGGGTTCTAGAGGGGAGGGGGGTGGGAGGATGGGTTGGCCTGGTGATGGGTATTAAGGAGGGCACGTTCTGCATGGAGCACTGGGTGTTATGCACAAACAATGAATCATGGGGGTGCCTGGGTGGCTCAGTTGGTTAAGCGACTGCCTTCGGCTCAGGTCATGATCCTGGAGTCCCTGGATCGAGTCCCATATCGGGCTCCCTGCTCGGCGGGGAGTCTGCTTCTCCCTCTGACCCTCCCCCCTCTCATGTGCTCTCTCTCTCTCTCATTCTCTCTCTCTCAAATAAATATAAAATCTTTAAAAAAAAAAAAAACAATGAATCATGGAACACTACATCAAAAACTAATGATGTAACGTATGGTGATTAACATAACAATAAAAAAATTTTTTTAAATAGAAAAAAAAAATCTGTCCACACAGGCAGAGAAAGATGTGATCTCTTCTTTCCCATACCCCTCAGTCCCTGCCAAATATTCCATGCGAGTGATTATGTACCCTCCTCCACAAGAAGGGTTCATGGCTTTAACCAAATTCTTAGGGGATTCGAGACCCAAAAAGAGTTAAGACCACTATTCTAGAGGCAATGGAAGGGAAAAAAAAGCATTTACTAGAATACGTTCACTCCTTTATTGAATTTCATAATTTCCCTATTACTACAAAGAATGCATCTGAGTCATTTTATTACAGACCATCTACCCTGTTTTTCATTAGTGATCACTAGCTTTGATGTCCACCTTTCAAAGACATTCAAAGGTCTAACAACTCTTACAAATGCCTGGGAAAGTACCATTTGCCACAAATCAAGAAGCATAGTAATATACAGCAGACATAACACACATATATAGATCTCTACACTTCTGGTCAAATGACTTGGGTTTGTGCCCCAGCTTGAACCCCTACAAACTATGTGACACTGAGCAAGTCAAGGAACTTTCCTGAACCTTAATATTCTTATGCATAAAATGAGGATCACAGACACTGCTCAACAATTAGGTTGTTATAACAATATGATGAGATGAAGGTTATAAAAATGTTTTATAAGATGAAAACTATACAAACATAAGGAACTACAGCTGACCCTTGAACAAGACAGGACTTAGGGGCACTGACATCCCGTGCAGTCAAAAACCCACATATAATTTTTGACTCCCCAGAAACTTAACTACTAAAAGCCCACTATTGACCAGAAGCCTTACCAATAACATAAGTGGTCAATTAACACATATTTTACACATCATATGTATTGTATACTATATTCTCACAATAAAGTAAGCCAAAGATAATGTTGTCAAGGAAATCATAAAGGGGTGCGTGGGTGGCTCAGTCAGTTAAAAGTCGGACTCTTGATTTCGGCTTAGGTCATGATCTCAGGGTTGTGAGATTGAGCCCCAAGTCAGACTCTGTGCTGGGCATGGAGCCTGCTTAAAATTCTCTCTCCCTCTGCCCCTCCCCTCCTCTCTCTCCTTCTAAAAACAAAAAAAAAGAGGTGCGCCCGGGTGGCTCAGTTGGTTAAGAGTCCAATTCTGGATTTCGGCTCAGGTCATGATCTCAGCGTTGTGAGATCGGGCCTCACAGTGGGCTCCATACTGGGCGTGGAACCTGCTTAAGATTATCTCTCTCCGGGCGCCTGGGTGGCTCAGATGTTTAAGCGTCTGCCTTCGGCTCAGGTCATGATCCCAGGGTCCTGGGATCGAGTCCCGCATCGGGCTCTCTGCTCCTTGGGAGCCTGCTTCTCCCTCTGCCTCTCTCTCTCTCTGTCTCTCATGAATAAATAAATAAAAATCTTTAAAAAATAAAAAAATAAAAAAAAAAAAAGATTATCTCTCTCCTTCTTCTTCTGCCCCTCACCCTACCCCAGGCTAGCACTCTCTCTCTCTCTCTCTTGCTCTCTCAAGAAAAAAAAAAAGAAAATCATAAGGAAGAGAAAATTCATCTACAGTACCATACATATGTTTATTGAAAAGAATCCACATATAAGTTACCCCGTTGGTTCAAACCCACGTTGTTCAAAGGTCAATGTATTATTTTGACATAATTTTAATTAATTTACATCTCCTACAGAATGGAAGAGAAGAAAATGTTTAGACCTGTTAGATTTTTTTTACATATTGACATCATTACATTAGAGTCAAGCAAGATCCTTCTAGAGTTTTGTGAGAATTAAATAAATAATATACCTAAAAGTACCTAATACAGTGCCTAGAACATAGAAAATGTTCAATAAATGCTAATATCCATCAAATACAGCAGAAGGCTTCAGAAAGTCTGTCTGACAGTATGTGTTGCACTGCCTGAAACTCTGCTAGGGGGACTCGAACCCTTTGGATTAACATCCTCTTCTAGACTAAAAGTCTTACTCAAACTTGAGGATGCACAAAACTCATCTAGAAAGCTTGTTAAAACACAAATTGCTATGACACCTCCCAAAATTCTGGTTCATTTTAGGGTGAGTCTGGTGAATTTGCATTTGACAAACTCTCGGGGGCTACTGAGAGGTTCCAGGACTATCCTTTGAGCAGCACTTCCTTAGACAGAAATACTTTACATCCCCTCATTCACACCTCATTGTAGATGGGCTCTTTTTCTAGATCTCTCACTAAAGATACTGGAAGTTTTGCTATATAAGAAAAGGGAAAGGGGGAGTGCCTGGGTGGCACAGTCAGTTAAGCATCTGACTCTTGGTTTCGGCTCTGGTTGTGATCTCAGAGTCATGAGATCGAGCCCCTCATGGGGCTCCATGCTCAGTGGGGAGTCTGCTTGAGATTCTCTCTCCTTCCCCCTCTGCCCCCTCACACTTGTGCGCTCTCTCTCTTTCTCTCTCAAATAAATAAATAAATCTTTTTTTAAAAAGAAAGAAAGAAAAGGGAAAAGGGAGAGACAGGCCACAGGAAATTGGGTGACTCAGCATGGTTAAAAACTTGGCTTTTCAAAAAGGCAGTCAAAGAACACAGATTACCAAAGTGGGATCAGGTGAAAACATGTGGAGAAGGGATTAAAAGGAAGAGGTGAGAGACTACTCTTGTGTCCTAAATATCTGTGTCCCTCCCCTCTCCCCACTCTCAACCCCTGAAGAAAAATTCCTATGTAGAAGCCTCACAGCCAGTGTGGCTATTTTTGGAAATGGAGCTACTAAGGAAGTAATTATGGTTAAATAAGGTCATAAGGGTGAGGTCCTGAACTGACAGGATTGGTGTCCCTATTAGAAGAGACACCAGAGAGCTTGCTCTTTCCCCCACCCCCCACCCCAACATACCAAGGAGGCCATGGGAGCACAGCATGAGAAGATGGCCATCTGCAATTCAAGGTGAGAGCCCTCTCCAGACACCAGCTGAGCTGGCCCCTTGATCTTGGACTTCTGGTCTCCAGAACTGTGAGAAAATAAACTTCCTTTTTTTTTTTTTTTTTTTTTAAAGTCTGTGGTATTTTGTTACGGCAGCACTAGCAGACTGATGTAACTATTAAAGACTTTTTTACCCCTGCTCAGTTGTTCCTTGGGCTGATCACAACTAAAAAGTTTTCTCCTGAAACGCAACTTTCTTTGGCTTTAATTTAAATTTATTTTCCCTTGCTCTAATGTCAATGGAAACCAAAAATAGTATGACTTTTTCCACACTGCTACTCTTGTTATTCTCACCTTTTTATAAATCCACTAAACAACATCTAACTAAATAGACTATTTAAATATACTATTTAAAATATACTATCTTTAGGGGCGCCTGGGTAGCTCAGTCACTAAGCATCTGCCTTCAGCTCAGGTCATGATCCCAGGGTCCTGGGATAGAGCCCCGCATCGGGCTCCCTGCTCTGCAGGAAGCCTGCTTCTCCCTCTCCCCCTCCCCCTGCTTGTGTTCCTGCTCTCACTATCTCTCTGTCAAATAAATAAATAAAATCTTTAAAAAATATATAGATATACTATCTTTAAAAACATACTATTTGGGGGGCACCTGGGTGGCTCAGTTGGTTGAGCGACTGCCTTCGGCTCAGGTCATGATCTCAGGGTCGTGGGACCGAGTCCTGCATCGGGCTCCCTGCTCAGCAAGGAGTCTGCTTCTCCCTCTGACCTCTGACCCTCCTCCCTCTGAGGTGCTCTCTCTATCATTGTCTCTCCCTCAATAAATAAATAAAATTCCTTAAAAAAAAATACTATTTTTTAAGCCAAAAAGCCAAAATAAATTAAATTTCTTACTTGTTCCTTTCCAAGTGAATAATATGCTCTTTTCCTTCAGCCTGAATGATATAAGACACCTAAATGCACAGAGAAAAAAAAAGAAAACAATAAAACACCATCTTATATATTACTTTTCAACAGGTATTTATAAGACACTGGAAATTCCATCCTGAATTAAAATAATTTGGCACCGACTAAAATTGTTTTACAGAACCTTATAACTGTTCTTTAATAAAAAGATACTCTGATCATCCCTACCTTCCTTTAATAACCTATTGTGGGAAATCTCCTGCATGTCCATCTAAACTCTCTTTAAGGGGCGCCTGGGTGGCTCAGTCGTTAAGTGTCTGCCTTCGGCTCAGGTCATGATCCCAGAGTCGTGGGATCAAGCCCCGCATCGGGCTCCCTGCTCGGCGGGAAGCCTGCTTCTCCCTCTCCCACTCCCCCTGCTTGTGTTCCCTCTCTCACTGTGTCTCTCTCTGTCAAATAAATAAATAAAATCTTTAAAACAAAAAAATAAATAAATAAAAATAAACTCTCTTTAAATTCATTTATAATTCATCTGTAACTTCAGGAATTATTTCTATTAAGTCTGGCCATGTATCACCTACAGTGTAAAGTAGTTCTTCCTTTTGTTTAACTGAAATGACTTTCTTAGTTTCAAGAGATTATCTCTAGTTCTAGTTACCCAAAAGTTGAAACTCATACACTCATGATTTTATATTGTCACACAGTTTACCACATTTCATCACTTCTGAAACACACTTTTTTCCCCTCAAATGAACACCTCTGAAATCAGGATGCATCAAAGGCACAGCAGTCGACTGTAGGACTGGTAGGACTGGTAGGACTCTTTCTTTCCTAATTAGTGGTCTATTAAACAATAGTGTGCCTTACAATTGACAGCATCTGAGTCAATGAACTGAGATAAGGTAACCTGCACTTACACATCCTCAAGTTCATGGGACCCTCTTCTCTACCTCAGATAACTTCCCCAGCAACTCACCAGTTCATCCGTCAAAAAAAAAAAAAAAAAAAGTGCTTAATGGGATCGCTAGAACCATGAGATTCCACTTTGCCTTAACTCTTTAACCAGAGAGAAAAGTCACAGACTCAACAAATAATATTATCAGAAGTGTCCTCTTATTCTCCTTACTGTTTCTGGACTCTAACATTTTGCCAAGAAATAGCATGATCCCCTCTTCTAGGGCTCATCAATAGCCCATTTCTAGGGCCTAGACCAAGTTACAGCCCCTGGCACTCGACTTCCTCAACGTGAGTGCGAACCTGTGATCTACCTCGATCTCAACTTAGGCATCAAAAATGCCAAGCTCCTAAGTACAAGCTTCCAGCGACAAAAAAAAATAAGACAATGGAGATGAAAAGTACAGCATAGAGAATATAGTCAGTAAGACGGTAATAACACTGTTTGGTGACAGATGGTGAATTCACTTATCATGGTGAGCACTGAGTCATGTACAGAATTGTTGAGTCATTAAATTGTACACCTGACACTAATATAACACTGTATGTTAATTATACTTCAATAAGAAAAGAATCAAAACTAAAAATAAAACAAAAGAAAGTAAGAAACAACAACAACAAAAATTCCAAGCTCCTTCCATCATCACAGTTTGGGCGTGTGCTGTTCTATCATTTCTGCTCTTGGCCTTTATGATATAAAAACACCACTGTCCTATCATCTGAGAAAAATTCTGAAAAGTCTGAGAATTGTTTCATGATACTATATTGCTTCCCCAAATATCTGCCTGGATTGCTCATTCCCCTGCTTCTGGTCTTTACTCAAGGGTTAGGACTTCTCAGGAAGGCTTTCCCAGGCTGCCCTATTAAAAAATACAAACCCTCTTACCCCACCCCTACCCTCACTTCCAGCACTCGCTATCCACCTTCCTGGTATAATTTTCTCAAGAGCACATATTACCACCTTAAGTAATCTATACTATTAGTCTATATTATTTTTTTGTTTACTGTCTCCTCCCCCCCCATCCTGCTAGAATGGAAGCTCCATAAGAACATGAATTTTGTCTGTTTTGTTCACTGCTGTATCTCCAGTGACCAAACAGTGCTTCTGCTTCTCCAAATATTTATCAGGGCGTATGAATGACATCTATTATGATCACAAGTGCCTACGTGTGCGGTACTGATGCAGAAATCAGAGACACAATGAAGTGGAAAGCATAGTCCCTGTGCTAAATGAAGAAACAGAGAAAAATAATGAAGCAAGTACACAATCAATTCTATCCTAAGGCAAAACATAAACAAATGGTAGAACGTCCTGTTCAAAACAAAACGAAGGAAGAATTACAAATTGTAGGGCCATTTATTCCTTACTTAATAGAGAAGAACTACAGTTGAATGACCTATCCAACTAGAGGTAGTACTCACAGGGCAGGCTAAAACTAAAAGCTCCTGACTCTAAACTCCAGTGTCCTATTTACAAGGCCCAGTCCCTGCACAATGTACAAGGTGCCTTCTACTTATGAATACACCAGCGATTCAGACATAATAAGCTAAACTCTATCCTTCATTATCTGCCACTGTTAAATTATAATAAAGTAAGATTATACTTCAGTAAAGTTGAAGAGTTTGCAAAATCAATTGAATTCCAAACTTATTATTTCTGAACTTTACAGTAGGAGAAAATAGTATAAAAGATAATTTTTGTGCATTGGTTACCCCGTTAACAGCATAATGTTTCTTCTGATATGGAGATAAAACTCACTTTTGAGTAAACATCCCATATATGAAATATATACATGTAACATACTACTATTCTCCAGAATCTGTGAAGATACAGTATGAAGTATTCTACCTATCACAAACTAAGAGAGAGATTAATTCTTATTATTATGAAAAGAACACTGTAACCATCACCAGTGAGAAAAGCATTAGAAATCTATATAATCAGCATCCTACCCTGGTCATAGAATTTTATTTAATTATTTCATTCTGTTATGTTTCAAGTTGGCCATTTGTCTTTAAAAAAAAAAAAGCTACTAAGGATCAATATATTACTTTTACTAGAGTAACAACCAATGGATATCAGTGCCGTATGTATGGTGGTATACTATTTACTGGCCAACACTACTCACTGAACCAATCCCTGCTAAAAGTAACACACTTGTCTTTAAAAAAAAAAAAGTAAAATTTAAATACATACATACTTCTCAAGAGATAACTTGCCTGTTTTGAATAGGGCCTAGGGGCTTCTCTTCGTTCTCTAGTTAATCTCCAAGGAGTTATAATTTCATAAGAAGAGAGATGTGAGGTCTGTTGAAAACCTACAGAAAAAGGAATCATAAATATTATATAACAAGTGAACATGCAAAACTAAATAGTACCAAAACGTAATGGAAATCAAAAGTTGAATGTTCAAGTCACAGAAAAATCACGTGACATTCACATATATGTGTGTAATTATATATACATAATCTCACACAAAAACTAGCAATATACTTGGTAAGTATGAAGGGGAAAAATATATTTCCTTAAAAACGATGTAAGTCTTCACAGTGTATACACAGCAGTCATTTTCAAACAATTTTTTGCTATAAACCTTATCAACCCTTTTTCTTAAAAGAAATCTGAAGGTATACACACAAGGAAAAAAAAAAAAAGAAGTGCTTTGGTGGGGAAGTGGAGGCAAGGCATCTGGAGCCTAGCACCATTCACTCATCTCCCATTTTTCACCCTGACCCAACATGAATGATATCCCCTGATATGGTATTAGAATACTTATGAAACAGACAAGGACAATTAGAGGGAAAAGTTAGTTTCAATGCCTCATCGGTTAACTCTAATAAATACACACTTAACAATGCAGCAGTTATCTCAAATTATATTACTGCCATCAATGTGTCCTAAAAACAAAAACTCACTTCTGATAAAATCTATTAACAGTGAAGAACCCAATCATGCAGACTTACTCCCAATTCCAATCCTGTTCAGTTTACTGCACAGTGGAATCATATCTAAGTGGAGCTTGGGTTCCAAAGTCATCACTAGAGCAAAAATTAAGTATAATCAAAACTGCCCAAGGAAATCCCTTAGGAAGACACCCCTTATTGGAGTCTGATACAAAGTCTCTCAATACACCCAACACACTATCTACTTCCAGCATCATTGCTCAGGGCATGTCAATTTTTTCAGTGAACTTGATGAAGTAGATGGTCACCACCAAAGGACCGTGGATGAAAATTCCATATCTCTATATGTCTGTATATATCTAAACCACATTCAGTATGAGGAGGCTTAAGGCTAGCATACACAGAAAGAATGAGGGAAGAACAGACATTTTTCATTCAGTGGATCTATTCCATTGTGATAACTCCTTCAAACAAGTTTGGTACATTTACTTATGATATTTACATGTTTACTTATGACACTTTATAGTCTCACATATGTGATATAATATTTCATAAATGCTATATTGCAGAGTTGATTAAAGTGAAAAGTAAGTCTCTCCCTTCATCCCACTCCCTTTAGGTAACTACTTTAAAAAATAATTATTTTATTATAGAAAATTTTAAACATACATAACAGCAGAGTGAATAATGAACTCACATGTACCCATTACCCAACTTCAATATAATTTCATATGTACCTCCTCCCTCAAACATACACTATTTTTTTTTAAGATTTTATTTATTTATTTGAGAGAGAGAGAATGAGAGAGAGCACATGAGAGGGGGGAGGGTCAGAGGGAGAAGCAGACTCCCCGCCGAGCAGGGAGCCCGATGCGGGACTCGATCCAGGGACTCCAGGATCATGACCTGAGCCGAAGGCAGTCGCTTAACCAACTGAGCCACCCAGGCGCCCAAACATACACTATTTTGATACAAATCCTAGACATCATATAATTTTGTTCCTGAATATCCTGAATGAATCTCTAAGACATAAGGACTTTAAAAAAGAAACCTTATCCACAATATGGTTATTACACATAAAAAAATTAACAATAATTTTTCAGGATCATCAAAATTTCCCTGATTGTTTCAGAATTTTTTTTTTCCATTGATTTGTTGAATTAGGATCCAAACAGGTCCATACATTTATAAGGCTCTTTAACTTATGGAAGTCCTTTCTTCCCCCCACCCTCTTTTGGGCATCTATTTGTGAAAGAAATTCCACTTAATGAAATTATTTCATACATTGATCCACTGAATGAAAAATGTGTCTGTTCTTCCCTCAGTCTTTCTGTTTGTGTATTCTAGTCTTAAGCCTTCTCATACTGAATGTGTTTAGATATATACAGACATACAGAGATATGGAGCATTGCAACTTATTTCCTGCACCCCTCAATGTCTGTATTGTTTGAATTTGTTTTTACAATGAGTAATTCGTAATCCCTGTATTACTTTTGAAATTATAAGGGGGAAAAGAGTATTTGTTCAATAAAAAGGCATAATCTATTTAAAGTACTGATTACCTAGCATCTCCCAAAGCTCCTGCCTTTTCATCAGCCTTACTAACCTCACACCTACAAGGCTCCATTCTTTCTTACCTGGTCTCCCTACTCCCACTCTCCTCCTTTGGAACCAACCTGGGTGCTCATTCACTCATTAAGTTTTATGCCCCTCAGATTTCTCAAATACAGATTAAAATGAAGCATTTACAGCTAACTTTCTCCGATATCACTGTATATAAAAATGTCTATAATCTTATCTAGTTTGGGACTTTAAAAGATACAACAGGAAAATAAATTGTATCCTATCCAATACAATACATATCATACTAACAGTTTTCAAACTCTTTACCCACCTTTAAACCCCTTATGTCTTTATAATATGGCATATAATGCTATCTAAAGATGGCTTCATTACATAAAAACACCAGAAATGGACTCCAGGGCGCCTGGGTGGCTCAGTTGGTTGAGCGACTGCCTTCGGCTCAGGTCATGATCCTGGAGTCCCGGGATCGAGTCCCGCATCGGGCTCCCTGCTCAGCAGGGAGTCTGCTTCTCCCTCTGACCCTCCTCCCTCTCATGCTCTCTGTCTCTCATTCTCTCTGTCTCAAATAAATAAATAAAATCTTTAAAAAAAAAAAAAATGGACTCCAATACTCACAGTAAAGTGACCATGGGCTAATCCAAAGCATATTTATGACCTACTATAATAAAATATCATTCAGATATTTGGAGTTGTTAATTGGGAAACCATGTCAAAAGAAATCCATGACCCATAGATGCAGGCTTCACTAGATAGAAATATCCTTAATCCTATATTAACTGAGGTACAGGACTACTTCCTCACCCAGAATAAATCTTTCAATGACCTTTGTTGTTTTCAAATTCCTAAAAATACAAGTTTCAGTATTACCCTAATTTCACTCTGGATGATGATAATCTGTTCAACTACTAGGACAGGCACCTGAAAAGTGAGGTTATGGAACTAGACTCTTGGGCTCTCTGGGCAATAGAAATTGGTAAGAAGCCAAACAGGAATTTTCTTTTTCTTTTTTTTTTTTAAGATTTTATTCATTTATTTGACAGAGAGAGACAGCGAGAGAGGGAACACAAGCAGGGGGAGTGGGAGAGGGAGAAGCAGGCTCCCCAAGGAGCAGGGAGCCCGATGCGGGGCTTGATCCCAGGACCCTGGGATCATGACCTGAGCCGAAGGCAGACGCCCAACGACTGAGCCACCCAGGTGCCCCCAAACAGGAATTTTCAAGCAAGGCTTTTATCAGGGGCTTCTGAGGGAGCAAAAGGCAGACTGCACAAAGCAAAGTGTCCTTGGGCTGGCTCCCTGAACAATGGCCAGGCAAAGTTTTTAGAGCAGCTGAGGTGGGAAAGGAGTGACAACTAAGCATGTAGGGGTGGGGAAATACAGGAAATTGGGCCCACAGACACAGTTGACAAACCATGCTTCATATACAGTATGTTTCATTTGCATGTTAAGTTTCCACCTCTGGGCATAATTTTTAGCATTATATTGAGGAGAAAAGCCGGCGAAAAGTCAGAGCTGGGGTCCATTTGGCTCTGACTGGTCTGGTCTGGTTTTTGTAGGAGCACACCTGGTGTAAATTGGGTCCTGGAGCTTGTTTCCAGCTTGTGGCTTCTGACTTCCTGTTCACATACAGCCACCTACAAGCTGACTAGAGAAATGGGTTATTGCCATTGGTGCTATGCGGGGGCCCGATTTTTCTGCAAGTGGCTGTTCTGTCTCAGTGGTGCAAATAGTTGGCAGGAATAAAATTCTTTTAGCAGGTAATAGATTAGACACTCTGTGTGACAAAAAGTAAATCATTGTATACATTTATTTGCAACTTCCTGTGACTTGAGAATTATTTCACACTAAAAAGTTTTTTAAGTAAATTTACAGGCAAGGATATATATGCTAACAGGTTCAGGGAACTGTTAACACTAGAAGCTAAACAATAAAGAAAACTCAAGTTTTTTCATTACAACTCAGCAGAAACATCACAAAGAAAAAGAAACGTCTCAGAAAAGAGAACTACAATTGGGCAGGCAGATATTTAAAGAGCTTTCAATTTGAAACAGGTTAAATGACTTTATTTTTTTTTGTCAGGTCTGAAACTATGGATCTTTCTGTGAGACTGTTAACAAAGAGTAACAATCTAATATAGGAAAACAAGATACAACATTCTTTCTGTCCTCATTTTAAAGCATAATTCTTGTTAGAAAAAAACACCACCACAATTAATCATTGTTTTTAATAAGACTTTCAAAATTATAGCACCCAAAAATAACTTCTGTATGTATAGCTGTTATTCCAATACTGACTTCTTGGTTTTAAAATCCAAGGATCTTTCTGAGTGCCATAAGGAGCTCCAAAACATCATAAGAAATGTACATATTTTTTCCCAAATTCCTTTTTTTATTTTTTAATCCCAAATAGTAGCAACTTTCTCACAAGAACCAAAATAACATGTTTCCCATGTTACTATAAAGGAAGTGCATGCACATTATTTGTATAAAGCTTCAGCCTCGGCACTGCTGACAGAAAATTCTTTGCTGTGGGGGGCTACCTTGTGCAATGTAGGATGTTTAGTAGCATTCAGGGCCTCTACCCACTAGATGCCAGAAGAACCATCAGTGTTGGTTCTTCTGCCCCAGAATGCCTTCTAGGGGCAAAACTACCTCCAGCTGAAAACCACTATAAGGATATAGTTCACAACAAAATTAAAAATCTTAATACAATCAACTAGCAGAGAATACAAATTTGTTATTTTTGAATTTGACAGAATAAGCACACCGTCAAAAATCACATTACTAGGAAACATGGGCTGGAGATAAAAATAAGAGCTGAACCATGAAACTTAA